GTCACGGGGAAAACGGTGTACGGGGCTCTCCGTCTTCTCTCTAAAACGATACTCGGGACTTGAAGGAGTTTCTTTCTCCGTGCTACGGTGGAGCCGTTACGCTCGTATCGGCGAAGCGGGTTTACCAATGAACGGAATTCATCATTCTCTCGCGCGCGTTCTGCTAACTTCTCGGATTATGAATCATTTATATCGCGTTTCTAAAGATCACAATTGCGGTTGTCCGCTTAAATGGCCAATCGATTACTTTCCGCCGCGTGGAAAAAAAAAAAACAAAAAGTCTCGCTTCGCAGACTTTACCTTTTCCATAAATGCAACAAACAAGTCCGATAAATTCACGCTTTATCGTACAAATTGAAAAGGAATTTCGATTCTCAGGGAATTGATTGAATCGTTTAATTTGTCGTATCGGAAGAGAAATTAAACATCGCGTTGAGCGCGAGAATGAGAAGATAAAAGATTCGTGGATAAAAACACTTTCCGATCGAGCGCAGGTGAGTTTTGGAGTGGGATCAGGTGTGATCTCGTTGTTTTCGTACGACGAAAGTACGCCTACGCGCCTCCAAAAGCTGATAAAACACACATCTCTACTTCGATAGAAAGTAGCAAATTGTACGCGTTGTTCGGCTATGGATATGTATTATTTTTATACGTAAAAGAGGAGAAATTTGATACGTATTATTTATACTTGTCAGGGGAGACAATAGGGAAAAGAGAAAAGATACGGAAATTAGAGTAAAGGAGAACAATGTGAAGGACGAATATAGCTGGCGGCACCAAAGTCGATTATTATTGTTTCACGTTCAAAGAGATTGCGCAAATCCGCTATTTTTATAACGAAATTATTTTATAATAAAATAATTATTTTTATAATCAAAGCAGATATTTGCCGCAATTTATTCGCTTTTATCCGCAATTTCAATTTTGCGTTTATTATATATTCATTTATCTACTCGATTTATTTTTTATCGAAATCTATTAACATGACTGCAAAGTCTGATTCAATTATTTCTGCGACTTTTACAGCTAACAATCGTGTGTACTAAATATTTATGCATTAATAATTGCGTTCTAGCTCTCACTAGTCCGTTTCTTTTGATCAAAATTTCACAAGATAAATAAATATAAACAACTCACAATGCTTCGCTGCAGCTATATCGTTTCCAAGGAAAGAAAGATGGCTTTTTGTCCGCAATTGATATCAGTTTCGTGGAAGACCGTCAGTTAAGTGCGTTAACTTAACGCGGAAAGTGGAAATGGAAAGTGGATGAGATAAGGAAGGAATGTCAATTAAATACGTCGAGATATACTCTTACTTGCCGGTTAGAGTGCGCCAGAGGTGGTCTAGCTAAGATGCATGCGCTACAACAAATCCGCCGACTGTTTTAAACCATTTAAAAAGCATCAGGGATGATAGGGAAACAGGAAACATAATCATCAAGAGATGGCTATCTAGAGAAAAATGCGCGTTAATCTTTGGTTGGTCGAAACAAACATGGAAAAGATTTCGAATAATCTTTTTCATAAACTCGGTCGACTTTTTTCTGATATATCGACAGGAATCGTGTATCACATCATTATCGCACGAAACTGATAATTTGTAAAGCCGCTGGATGTGATTTGTTCACTAAAAATTTTTGGAATTTTCTGTTCAATTTTCTAATCTGATACATCGGTATCTCATTATCTCACGGAACTGATAACTTGTAAAACTATTTGCTGATTGTTTCACAGATTTTTTTGAAATTTTCTAATTCTGAATTTTACCAAAAAAAAAAACCCTGCGATTTTTGAGTAAGTAATAATTAAAAATAAATATATATATAGCAAAATCATATACCTCTGTTAATGTCAAGTGACTTTTAATAAAACTTGGAGAAGTGTGATTTCTCTTGATATTTTTATCCAAATAAGTAATCTTCAAATTTATTAAAGAAACAGTGGTTGAAGGGATATCCAGCGGTTTTGGGGCACGCTGTATAGCATGCGCGTCAGTAATCCTCTTTACAGACGGAGCGGCAAATAGAGCAACAAGTGATACCGAAGTTGAAAGTCGGTCGGCGTTAGCGAAGTAAATGTAATATTCTTCTTTATGAGATCTGCGCGGGTTTTTGATGTTTCTTGTATATTCGAGGAATATACGAACTCTCTGAGAGAGGAGGAAACGTCATGATCAAAAATCCGGTAGATATCCTCGGTGGTTCAACATCTCGGAGGGAGGTATAACGCCGCGCGATAAATTCAGTTACGCGATTAAATGAATTTTACATCGCGACTGGAGATGGCATAAATTTATATTACTATTTCAGTAGTGGAATATCGCCAATCGTATAATTTCTCAGACAATTGAATTCATGATGCACAAAACAGCGCAAATTTACATGTGAACGTACGAGTTATAAAATTAAATCTTCTTCTGTCTTTACAATCTTAAAAAAAGTTTTAAAAAATCGCATATGTATAAATATAAAAATTTTCACTTTTTTTTCTTCAAAACTTTAGATAACAGATCAGCGTTGTTTCGCATTTCGAATCGGATTTCGAGTTCGCAAACGATTTCTGCCTCATCTCACTCCGCGAGGACGCGACGCGGAATGAGCCATGAGAGTTTGGACCAACCAGAGAGCGGCTCGAAACGAGCGCCCAGCGGGGTTAACGAGACTAATTACGATTTAATATTAATTAGCCAATTAGCGGGTTGCCACCCCCGCGGGGCGCGCGATATCGCATGTTTCATCGAGGTTGGGGGGGGGGGAAGCGGCAAAACGACAGGCGCTTGGTCGGGCGTTAGTGATAAGAAATCAAAACAATGATTGTTACGAGGTTAACAACGATTAACAAGGAGGCTGATCGCATACCGTATAACATCGTGCAATCAGCCTTCTTGTTAACTATTCCTCATAACAATTGTTGTTTTGATTTCTTATATATATAAATATATATATATATATTAGACTAAGAAAAAGATAGACAGTAGGAAGGAACAAATAAACGTATACAATAAATAGATAGAATAATCAAATATATACAGCACCAACGCAATTACTTTTTGCCAACAAGTTAGGCAAGAGATACGAGATTTGTCAATAATAAATTACAGAATGGACCGCAGAATGGGATCGGGAGTTCTCCTGGGGAGGAGCGGGGGATCTATAGCTATAGAAGGAATTGGGGGGGGGGGGCGGAGGGTGGGATGGCTGAGTGAGAAAATACAAAGGAGAGATACACAAATAGAGGTTAGCTACAAGTTTTAAACGACTACTTTATTGGCAATTTTTCTAGGCATCAACCTATACTATTTTTACGTTACGTTTTCGTTCGTGTTGTTGCTCTTGGCGTACGCCGTCGAGCGTACTCTTGCGTTAACGTCGTATATTTTCCTGTCCTTTGCACGTGTGTGTGTGTGTGTGTGTGTGTGTGTTTATGTGTGGGTTATGCGTGTTTCACATCGCGAGCGTGCTCCGATGAAAAATTGTCGCCGGGTAATCCGTCGATTTTCCTGTTTCTTCGATCGAAAGATAACGCGCCGGTTAAGTCAAAACAAGCGAATCAAGCGAAGCGGAAAGAAGAGCAAGAGCAAGCAAAACAGAAACGCGTGTGGAATCGGAGAGTTCGAACTTCTCGTTTATTTTGGCCCTCGTGCATCGTTCGTAACTAAAATTGATCTGAAAAAAAAAGGGAGGGGGAAACCGAAGCAATCGAGAAAGCAAACGTTTCCTCGAATTTCGAGCCGCGCTACACACGACGCTGGCGACGGTTAGATAAACGGGGACCGCGAACTCCCGTCATCGATCGTTCCCCACTCCGGGGATGACTTTACATGGCGAGTCGCCCTCTCGTACCCTTCGGTCTTCCCGCGATACTTTTTTTTTTTCTCTCTCTCCTCGGGAAGCAATCAGCGGCCAAATCGTTTACGCGCGTCGCGGGCGCGTGCATTAATAGCTTCAGCCTGACAATTATCCCCTTTTATGGCACATACGTGGCTGGCACTAGAAAAATAATGATAACAACAACGGTGTGAAGTGAATTGACGCAGGGGAGCTCCGCGGACGGCGATTGGAAAGGAGAGGCGTTAAAACAGACAGAAGCTGCGTGATCCGCGAAGCACGCACGCGATGCGCCGGTGTTTGTCGAGTGTGTCCGAGTACGAATGTGAATCATGTAGATCGCTAAGAATAATAATCATAATCGTAATCATAATGATAAGCATAATAATGATGTTGATGCGTAATAATAATAATCAATGATGGTAATTAATAGTAATGGTAATAATAATAATTATAATAATGGCGATAATAGTGATAATGAGTAGTAGTAATAGTAGTAGTAGTAGTAGTACGAGTATCAGCGCTTACGCAATTAGACATGGGGAGAATTCTGGAGTGCGTAATATATACACAGTTACACAGTTCGATTTCACATTCTCGATCTTTCTCTCTCTCTCCCTCTCGCTCACTCACTCTTTCTCTCTCTCTCTCTCTTTTTCGCTACTCCCTTAGGATTTTTACCACCCTTTCCGTATGTATCGATTTTTCGTAAGAAAACAGCAGTTTTCGCCATACGTTCGTCCGCGAGTATTTCCGTCTGGATGTTCCAGAGTCGAGTGGATGGTTGGAGAAATCGCATGAATGGAGGAGAGAAATTAGGTGATCGGACGGTGAAGGGGAAGAATATAGGTATAGGGGAGCGGAAATAAAAAGTTCGCGGATATTTATTCACGCGGAAGCGTCTCGGATCTCGTCGACGATCGATCGTGTCGCGCGTTCGTCAGAAATCTCTCTTTTGAGCAAAGTGGATCGATTAAGTCTCGAGCGAGAAGGATGGGATTAAGATGCGCGTAACGATTAATTGTACCGAAACCGGCATAATCGCGACCGCGAGAAAATCGAATCGAACAGGAAGAACGCGATGGCGAAGCGGTGACGAACGCATCTGAATTACGAAGCTTCAATACCGAAAGTGCCCTTGTCAGCGCACTGGCAGTCAGTTTTTTTATTATCTTTTTTTTTTTTTAGTTATTTCCTTCTTTTATGTATGTATTCCTACTGAGATGTTCAAGCAGCGACATTTGTATCGATGGGTAAGCAGAACTGCAAGCGAGTCGTAATAAAAAAGAAAGCGGAAGACGGGAAGGAAGAGGCTCGGAGGACTAAAGAGAGAGGCGGATGACGATTAAGTGGAAAGATATTTCAACCAGCATGCTTCACCTACGTTTCATACACAACTAGTGGTGGTTAGCGCTCATCAAAAAATACCAGCTACGCTAATAATTACTGTCAACCATTCGCAATATGAAATACATGATTATCAGAGAATGAGATACAAATATATATATATAAATATGTAATACATACTAAAGGGTTTGCGGAACTGGGACGAAAACCGGGAGAGATCGAGAGGAGTGGGGAGGGGTGGGGGGACCTGCTGATCGGAAGAGAGAGGTGGTTTTCGCCGTGGTGACACATTTCTCGTATGATGACGATGTTATCTTTGCCACAGAGCAGATATTAGATCGGAGGTAAATATCAGGCAGGGCGAGGCTCGATCATCCGATACCGATGTCGATCTCGTCGTGCGAAAATCGTGGAAGCTTTTTCGTCGTCGACGGTGACGATTTCACGGTAATAATTACATGGCGGTATGATGATTCCACCTTACGAGACGATTGTCAGCGGGCATAATCGCTTAACTCTTTACAGGGCACCGATTTAGCTGCATGGCTTATAATTCACACTGTTGTATTTAATAATCAATAATTTGATAATGAAAAACAAGTCACAAAAACACTGTAAAAAACGAAAGAGTTTCGTACCAAAAAAAAAAAATTGCATTTTATATTTTACTGGTAGAATTTGTTGGTTCTTGGAAATTTATCTTCGACTGCCCTGTAAAGGGTTAATACCACTCGAGCTACTATCGATCTCGCCTCTAAAACTTGACGCCCTTGGCTTCTTCGTCGTTGCAACGCGTCCGATAACATACATAATTACACGTTATGGGCTATAATGGATCAGACTATACCTCAATCATATATCGATTGTGCAATTATAATTTAATATGCAGATTGCATGTTCAAGATGCAACAAATATTTCATATATCGCATAACGAATTGACATTGTATATTGGGCGATACAACTCTCGATTGTAACCGAGTTTATCGAAGGCAATATCGAGTGAGATCAAGAGTTCCGTATTATAGCTCATAACGTTCCGCTGAAGATTGCAAAACCGTTACGGAGAACGCTCGGTAAAATCGTCACATCTCTCTTCGGGGCGATACACGACATCGCGATAAGACAATTCCAAAATGATAGCTCGGAGAAACGCCGAGCGACGCGTCACGACGCGGATAAACGACCCTAAAGTCCGTACGGCTAAAATTTATTGCTGAAATTTCATGAGATATTTTTTCGTTCTTTTTTTCTTTCTCGAGCCGAGAGGAATACCGCGCGCCCTTGATGCCGGATATGCCAGATGCCAAATTTCCGGGGACGCGCGAAGATTTGCAGTCACGGCGATGTCCGACCCGGTAAATTTGTCTCCCCGAGACGACTGAAACTTCGACCCGTATAGAACGTTACAGAAACTAGGCGAAATATTCTATCCTCAATCGGGGAGTGGAGGCGAAAATTTCGGTGCAGCAAAAAAAATTAATGCCAAATTACAATCGTAATGGATAACTTTAGGACCAACTTGTAAGAGCAAATTTCCGTATGTATGTCAATTCACAGATATATATATATATCATTATATATATATATATATATATATATATATATATATATATATATATATATATATAAATATATACTTAGATATATTTACTTATGCAATCTCCTTTATTGCAACAATTGGTCGTAAAATCATCCACCGTAATCCAATTGTAGCTTCGCACCGATTTTTTTTACATCGTGATGTCAAATCCGACGTTGCGAACATACGCGAGGAAATAATTTCGACCTCTGACTCGCGAAAACGCGCAAGACGTTCGTCGAAAATCGAGCCCACCGAAAACTACACGTCGCTCCCAATCCCCGACTCTCGCGCTCCGAGAGAAAGTTTCGCGAAACGCGCAAGACGGTACCGTCGAGCGTTCGCAGGCGTCCGTCGCGGAATTTCTGCGTTTCCAGAAGGCAACTTCGAAAATAAATACATCGGGGAACGCTCGTCGGGACGGCTCGACGGTAACAGCTTGGTTCGAGACTTCCTTCGGAACACCCTCGAATAACGCGCCTCTCCTTTCTCCTCTCTCCTTCGCCCGCTCGTAGAAATGGAAGAAGTACTACGGTACTCGGATATTCGAAACTTCGTTTTCCACTTTCGCGGCCGATTCCAGAAGCGAGAGAAGAGAGAGAGAGAGAGAGAAAGAGCGAGAGAAGGAAGGGGGAGAAAGATGAAGTGAGAGGTAGATGGATCGAAGGCGGAGAAACGAGAACCAGGATGTATTGATATTAAACGAGGGGTGTCCGCGAAAGAAAGGTCCGTCAAGAGTACTCATACCGCACATTATTGGCATGCGAGTATACAGTAGTTATTGAGAATGAAAACTGGAACCAGACGTACGCCTCTCAGCCGATCCTCGCTCGCAACACTCGCGCGCGTGCACGCGTTTTACCTTCTCACCTCGTCGTCGTTCGTTCCGTTTCGTTCTGTTCGTTTCTCCCTACGTGTCTATTTCGTGTCACTCGTTCGCACGTTTTCTCACTCCTATGTTCGCTCTCTTACTTTGTAATATTTTCCTTAATACGTCATAAATATCACTCGCGAGTTTTGTTATCCTTAACGCTTTACGGTGTATGTATATAATTATATTTTTTTTTGTTCATATATATATATGTATATTAAAGTATATATATATGTATAGTATCACTAGAGAATATTACTTGTTCGGAAGGACCCGGATCCTCCCAATTTCTCGCCGCTCGATCCTTCCTCGCACCCCCTAAGACGCACTACCGTTTCGTTTCGCCGTTTTTTTTTTTTTTTATTATCCAAATCCTTTCGCTTCGAGTATTTGTTTTGTATAGATATCTAGGATTATCCTTCTATATCGATTACGCGCGCAACAGGCGCAGCCGCGACGTTTTGTATATTATCATTAATAATACTCGTAATAATAGTATAGTTTAAAGTTTGAGTCAATCGCTTATTGCTCGAAATTTCATATATCGCTCACACGATGCCTCGACAGAAACGCCCCGCGCTCGTCTCGCCGACGACGAGTCCTTTTCCTTCTCATCGCACATATTTTCATATTTCTCACACGATCCGACGTGAGATCATTCGGGCGATAATCAGCAAATCAGCGATATATCGCTCTCGACACTTAAAAGCTACTAATACGAAATAAAAAGCGAGAATTAAAAGAAAGTGAAAAAACATAAATTAAGTTAATATCGCACGGATCGCATTAAATACAACTCGAACTTTTACTTACAGACTAAAATACAAATCGATAGCTTCCTGCAACTGTTGATTTTTATGCAGCATTTTAAGAAATAATTTAATAACAAAAAAAAGGAAAAATGTAAAAAAATGATATCAATTGAAAGGAACTTTGCCTATTTACACGAAAGCTTTGCACGCAAGACGAGTTATAGGCGGGGGATCGTCGCGAAAATACTCCGTCGTGGCGAGCAGATCTCAGGGCGTGCTCCAAAACATTCTACGTATAAATTAAACCTTTATAAATACACTCGAAGGCGCGAAAATCTTCGAGTATATTTATAAAGACGCGTAATAGTATCTTTTAAGTATCTGTCTCTCTCTTTCTCTCTCGCGCGCGCACGCCGGGTCATCCCCCCCCTCCCACGCGGATCGGAGGGGGTCCCTTTTTATTCCTTATTATTAACCGCTTAAATATCTACGTCCGCTATCATCAAGAATGCTATATTCGCTTAAGCTTAACTTAAATAGAATCGCCGACTCTCACATTCTCTACTCTCTTAGGAGCTCATTAAGTGACGCCGTTCACGCCGATCGCGTGCGGCTTGCGTAATGATACTGCTGTAATCAATCCTTAATAACTAAACACGCGTAACTCCACGTACGCGAATTACACTCGCATTTCACGCACTCGTACGTGTTACGTCGCTAAAGTCTTATCTTTATTTTTTTTTTTTAACGCGATAGAGAGCGGAGAAATATTGTCTTCCATTATTTGAAGAAAAATATATGTATGTATATACGTATGTGTGTACGTGTGTGTATGTACTTATGCATTATACGCAGTTATATACGTGTCCCCCGTGTCGCTGTGTGTCGTACATACGTAATGTCACGAGAGAGCCTATTCGCTTGCTCGCGGGTGCCGCCGCGCAAAGTGGATTGTGTGTATTGACCTGTTGCCTCTGGAAAGGCGAGAAGACGCGGGTGGTTTCGCCGACGCGCGAGCGGAAGAGGCGCCGTCGCGCGACACGACCGATGAGACACCGGAATTGTCGCTCGTGCCGCGGGAAAGACACGAGAAAGGAAGTTCCGTCGCGCTCAGAAACTGCGAATTACGCGCTCGGCCGTCCGAAGTGATATCCTCCCTTCGATTTTCGTTTGGCACTTGGCGCTTGGCGGATGCGAATCTTAATTTTCTTTGCGTTTAATCTACGATTCGAGTCGTGCTGGGGTCCGAGCGATCGTGTGTTTTGAAGAAATTCAGCGCGTTTTGTATTGTACTTTCCGCAGTCTAATTGAGAGGAGCGTGTGTGCACTTTGCTCGGCGCGTCTCGTAACGTGCCACTTCCGCTGCGGTCGTCGGCGGAGACAACTCGGTCGAATGTTGGCGAATATACGCATACGGAGAAATTCTTAGGGCATTAGTGAATATAACGGAAAGGCAAGGAGCACAGAAATAAGGAGGGGAAACGATCGAGCGTTTTCTCGAGCTTGACGCGCTAAGTCGTTCGCGGCGTTGTTCACGGCCTCTCGGTTTTTCTTTATTTTTTTTTCTTTTTATTGCTTTGGAGTCGAGAGAACGACCGTGGCGGGAACGACCGAGAGGCCGGAGATTGCCGCGAATGCTGTGAAACAAGCGCCGCTAATGGATCGTCTTAATTAATCGCTGATTAACGTAACGGGCGCGGCGACGTGAAAGAGGCGCGATACGCTATACGCGCGTGTTTTCGACTCTACGCGTTAATCTAAATAGGAACCAAAGTGTGCTGAGAACGCAATGACTTGTGGTGATTCTGAGAAATGGTATATGAATCGCGCGAAAGCGAAGGGCAAAAGAAAGAAGAAGAATGATAATTAAAAAAAAAAATAATAATATACATAACGAGATTTCTCAGTCTCGATTTTCATTACAGTCGATACTTGGAAAATAAATTAATGTAACGCACGATGGGAATTGAACGCAAAAAATATGTTCATACTGATTTTCACTTAACACAGTCAATAGAATACAACTACGCAGATAACTCTGATCTTCCAGCTTCTCTCAGTATGTATGCTTCTGTTTCCTCATTCGCTGAGCTTCCGCGGGTGATCGTTCATTCCCTTTGACAATTTTTGCCCTCATCTTTACCGCGCTCTTCGCTCGAGTGCCAATCGATTGAAACTTGAGACTTCTTTCGTCGGGTTCGTTCCGCTTGTCCGCCTTTCGCGGTTCCATTCCGTGACAAACGTATCGACGACTCTATTCCTGCTGACGTCGGTGCCCGGCGATAAGAGGAAACGGCATTCGGAAGCATCGGCAAACGGAAGTCACCTTCGTCCGAGAGTTTACTTCTATTTTTATTATTATCTTCATGCTTGCAGAAGCGCGATGGGGCCATTTCCAGAGACACTGGATTTCCCAGATTCAAAACTTCGGAAACGGATGTGATCTCGCCCAGGATCGATCTTGGAGAACGAATAACCTCGTTATCGTACATAAAGCGGGAATCCTCTGCAAAGAGGATCCGCGTGGGATCCGAGAGATGAGAAGCGCGGGACGCCGCGCGGCATCTCGATATCCTCTCCTTAAACGTACATTCCCATCCCGTACATGGAACCCCAGTCGACGCCCTGGAAGCTCGACATGTCGACGTTGGTGAGCGAGTAGCCCTGATAGGGATTGCCAGGCGCCGCGGCAGC